AATAATCATTTGGTATGAAATGATATATCATGTCAACTTGGTGAGTAAAAGTTTGCAATCAAAGAGCATGCTTTTAGATGTAGCTATTCAAGAGATAAAGGCTTTGATTATTTTTTTTGAGAGATATCGAGAAAGTGGTTATGAAAGTGCTATAGAAGAAGCGAAAAAAATTGCTGTTGAGCTTGATATTGATCCAGTTTTTCCTCAAAGGAGAGTAATTCGAAGAAAGAAACAATTTGATGAAACTCGAGATAGCGCGTCAGAAGTTGTTAATCTATCTCCCGATGAATCATTTAGGCTTAACTATTTTTTATATATTGTTGATCAAGCTATTGTTTCATTGAGAAGGAGGTTTGAACAATATCAGGAATTTGAGGATATTTTTGGCTTTTTATTTACTTCTGAGAAATTGAAATCATTAGAAGATGCACAATTGAAGGTATGTTGTTTACATCTTGAAGGGGCTCTTAAGAAGGATGAACAATCTGATGTTGATGGGGATGATTTGTATATGGAGTTGAAACTTTTCAGAGATTTTTTACCAAATGAAAAAATGGGACCTTTTGATCTCTTCAAACATGTGAAGCATTATACTTGTTTGCCTAATGTGGTAATTGCATACAGAATAATGTTGACTATCCCTGTGACCGTGGCAAGTGCAGAAAGAAGTTTCTCCAAGCTTAAATTGTTGAAATCTTATTTGCGTTCTACAATGTCACAAGAGAGACTCAACAGTTTGGCGATGATAGCAATTGAGAACGACTATTTGGAGAAGATCGAGTACAAGGATTTGATAGATGATTTTGCTTCAAAGACGGCAAGGAGGACAGCTTTATTCAAATGATAGCATAATAATTATATTTAGTTATTTTAAATCATGTATTTTTCTTTATAAGCACTTGGACACAATTATTAGTTTTGTTGAACATTGTGAGTTTATGTTATTTTTTATTTTATTTTTGTTCATATGTGAGGCCTCATTTTGGTATTTAGTCATTTTAGAACAGGGCCTCTAAATTTATTAGACGGCTCTGTATTTGAATCTATATAAGAATTACAATTATGATGACTAAATATAATGGATATTTCATAAATACGTATTACTCGTAGTTTATTAATACTACTTGTTAAAATGGTTATTATTGTGATTCTGATTTAATAAAAATGAAAGGAAGCACTCAAAACATAAGTAGTCTGGCTGGTTGGAGTTACGTATGTTTGCCTTGGTGATCTGGGTACGAATCCCCTGGAAGCTAAATTTTGCTTATTAAATGCGCGGGCCGCCGGTTTAAACAGGTTTTGGACGGTCCAGGTCCGTCGCGGGTTATAGCGGTTCGCCGGTTATTCCCGATTTGTTCCATCTCCATTCAACCGGACCGGCATCAGAGCCGGGTGACCGGGTTCCGGGCCGGTCCGGTTCGGTCTAGTGGAAACCTACATATACTCAATTGGAAACCTACGTATTGGATTGAAACAGGCCTTCATCAACAAATATAAGGGAAATTCTAAACACAGCCCCTAATTAAAATTAATTAATTAAATAAAAATAAAATCCCTACGATACCCCTGTTCTGTCTGTAACCATCATCACAAGCAATCTATCTGGTCTTCTGTCCTACGGCGGAAATCCATTAGCCCTCTTGCAGCCTCTCCTTTGTAGCTGGTTAATTTGATGCCGGTCAGAGCTAAAACCCGTGTTCAACCCACGTTCGTTTTCTTTCCAGTTAAAATTTGCCTTTTGCAAAATGGATAACTACACTACGCTAGAAGCATACTTGTCAATTCCAGTTTCTCGTATGCTCTTGAACACTTGAATTAACTCCCTTTATTTCTCTGTTTCCTTTTTCCTATGCGGCTACGCCCAATTGCAACTTTGCAAGATGGGTTTAAAAGATTATCAACCTGCTTTATGCAATTTGAAACTTAACCTCATTAGACAGATTTAGTAGGTATCAAAACTCTTGTTTTTCAATCATCCGGGAGATAAAATAGATATAGGTGTTTAGTTACTCCCTCCATATTCAAAAAGGGAAGTTCCAACTTCCTGATGTTTATGTGGAGATTTGGATTACAATGGAGTGAAATCTCTATTTTTCTCGATCTGTAGAAGGGGAGGGGAGGGGAGCAGGGGCGGAGCCAGGACACTGGGCCGGACTGGGCCGGTACAAAGAATATTTTTGAAAAAAAAATTACACGGAATTTTTTACACTAAAAATATAGAGATTTTTAAAATTTGGGCTGGGCCAGGGCCAGGGGTGGCCACCCCCTAGCTCCGCCCCTGGAGGGGAGGGGATGTGGGGGTAGAAGAAATGAGTAGGTGAGAATGTGTCCGGGAGTTCAGAGAGGGGATAACCGGTCTATGAAGGGATAGCAGAATGTGTCAGTCTCGACCGTAGGTATTTCGAGGATTGTGATGCGACACCGTTCTTCTCCTTCGACGGCTCCACCCTTGCTCTGAGCAGCATCGGAAACGGGGAGGAACGAAGATAGAGCCTTAAGGCAAGTAGGCAACCATATGATGTTGGGACAAACAACAGGGATATAATAGACAGTTTATTAATATTTAATTAATTAATTTTAATTAGAGGCTGTGTTTAGTAAAATTGTGACTGCATTTAGAATTACCCCAAATATAATTCATATTGGGCCCTATAGTCACTACGTATTTAATACACTCACACACACTATTTCATATGGTCTAATAATATTAATACCCTTTATGTTAATTATACATTCAATCAGGCACTTCAGCTACAATAACATCACACTCTCACTTCAGAAATTTCAACCATTTCAGCCAGATTAATAATTTCATCCAATGCCAAAGAGGCCCTAAATATGTTTTAATTTGAATGTGTGTCTTGTGTACTCGAGTATTTTTTGTCTACTCGTTTAATTTGTTTTAGTAGTTTTAATAATTTAAGAAAATAAAAATGGTTAAAATGTGAATTGTTAGGATACGTTTGATTTGTTGTAGACTATAATAAAAAATAGTAAAAACTCATAAAAAAAAACATGGATACCTTTCCCACCGCCTCCCAGCACCACCAAAATTCTGCCATTTTTTATAAAAACATTCCTTTTTTCTCGAAAATGCCAAGAAAATGGCACCATTATAGTATTACTCTTCATAATGCCAAATTCTCATTGAATCTGCCATTATTATGGCATTACTAAAATTGTTGGCATATTTTTTTTTTTGTTTTTTTAAACAAATTAATAAAAAATAGTAAGAACCCATAAAAAAAATATGGTTACGTCCGACCAGTGAAAATTCTTCCATTTTTTGTAAAAATGACACTGTTTTCTAAAAATGCCAAGTAAATGGCATTATTAGTCATCATAATGCTAAAATTCTCACTGAATCCGCCATTGTTATGGCATTACTAAAAATGTTGTCAGATTTCGAACCGATGATGGGAGCTGATGGTGCTGGGGGTGCCAGAGGCGACGGTTTTTTTTTACATTTTTTTATTTTTTAAAAATATTTTTAATAAATATTTTATCCTTTTTTAAATATTTTTTGACTTTGTTATTATTTTTTACGTTTTGATTAATTTTTTATAATTTTATTATTAATTAAGACATTTTAAAAGCTACAAGGGTATATTTGTCCAAACACAAATAAACAGTCCAACTAGGGGAATAAAAAACATATACCCTATTTTTACTTTTGGGCCACTTTTTTTGACCTATTTAGGTAATTTGATTTGGGTCGCAGAATAGTTTTTTTTGTTTGGTAACATAATTAGAAAAAGAAATGATTCATAATATATGACCAAATTAAGGACAATGAATTATTAAGAACATGATTTATTAACTTTTATTATATTTTTTTGAAAGACTTTTATTATATTTAAATGTTATTACAAAGTATATCATATATATATATATAGCTAGTCTAGTTAGTTAAATACGGTACGAGAATTAACCAAGATTTAATACATACATGTTTTATTCGGTAATATCAATGAAAATCAAGGCCAAAATACATAGTATAATTTCGCTAACTAATGTCAACAAATAAGGGAAAATAACAATAGAATGAGAATAAGTTAAAATCATTATCTTTATATATGATCATAAAATAACACTCAAGTTGAACTCATCATTTTCATCAAGATGGCAGATAACATATGAGAAACGTTATGCGACTGCTACGCTTATTATTATTTATGTGTAAAAGTTTATACTAAAACATTTCAAGTTTAGAAAAGCCTTAATTTTGATATGCATGTTTGGAAAAACATCATATATCTAGTGTTTCATCCGTCCCATTTTACATGTCCTACTTTCCTTTTTGGGTTGTCCTAAAATAAGTATCACATTTCCTCTTTAGGAAAGAAACATTTAGTGTACATAAAATGGGACGGAGATAGTAGTATTTTAAGTTTCTTTCCTCTTTAGGAAAGAAACATTTAGTGTACGTAGCATTTTACTTTATTATAATCAAATTTCAAACAACTTTTAATTTCTCAACCATTTTATCAAAAATTAAAAATTGTTCCAAGTCAAAGTGAAACACATAAAATGGGACGGAGGTAGTAGTATTTTAAGTTTTGGTCTTTTAGAATGCTAACTTTAGGCACTATGCAATTAATTTGAGTATTTAATATTTTTATATTATAACAATACAAAAACACAGGATCATTGGGGGAATCTTTTTTTTTTGTTTTTAAACTATCGTTGATTTTCTATGCATTTAATGCATTCAATCAATTGATTAATTCATGTTTTTATTTTTTGTAAAATGCGGGAAAAATACGTTTTATACAAGAAGTATGATTTTCCCCCTTTTAAACAGACCGACATTATTTTTCGTTTTAAATGTGTTTTTTTATTCAAATAAACGATACACACGCAAAAAAAAATTAACTAGCCATCAGTCATATCTTTATCCAAAAAAAATTATTCTTTGGCAATATATATTTTAAGAAAAGCCTCGTATAAAACACGTTTTATTATGAATTGCAATATTGCATAAGTAGCACGATAATTCCGTGATAGTATATCCATCATCATCGAACAACGTCGTTGTAATATACGAGTAGAATGCATGGTCATGCATGTTTGACATCTTTAGAGACAAATACGCTTGAGATCGGGGCGGGTAGCAGATATTGTTGTCTGTAAATAAACACCGAGGCTTTCGAGGCGACCATAACGGTCAACAGTTCCGTGAAAGCCATTAATGGAATCAGCTTCACTACCTAGTCGGAATTTGAATATGCTGTCGTTGGATGACGATGGCGCCCTATTTTCCCCAAAGGGTCCATATGTAGCCCTGTTTGTCACAAATGTTATCGATGACAATCCACCGCAAGACACATAAGTGAAGCGACGAAAGCCATGCACCTCAATGAGGACCTCCGTTGGGTAGTCTAGTCTGATCTGCCACATGTAGTAATGTATACACAATATGATTAGGGGCGGATATAGCATTTGTATTGAGGCGCGGCCAGAATTTAATTAAATAACGTAAATTACCAAAAAAATGCCAAGATGACAAAATGTAATAAAATAATATTACAAAAATGTTAAAGAAAAAAAATATTACAGAATGGACAGTTTAATTATCTTGAAAGTCATAGATACCGAACTGAAATTGACTCAGTTACTGAAATGTTCAGTATCAATTTTCAGGTCAATTATATTTCTTGGAGACTAATTTTAGACTAAATTTGTTGATCTGATCTACTTTGATCTAGTCTGTTTAAGTATGGTCCGGTCTGGTAAATATCTCATTTTTGTGTATTTTATAATTGTCCAAGTCCAGTCATTATGTTTGGTCTAATCTGACATTTCCATTCATTAATATACGGAGTAGAATTTTCCAAAAATAAATACTTGGTACTCCGTATTAGTTACTACTCTAGTACTCTACATTTTAATTTTTAAGGCAATTAATTTCGAAGTGTTAGTGAACTGACTCACCATGCGTATGCTGTCACTAAGTTTGCCATGATCTTCAGAAAACTGCAACTCGCCGTCCTTGAAATAAAGGAAACGCAGAGAGTTAACACAGTAGGGAGAATAGGAAACGAGGATTGCAGCAACTTCACCACGACCACAATCATCCCACGACACCCCCCCATTCGCTGGAACCAAATCGATTTTGAACATTATATTCTACGGAGTATTGTATGTATGTATACAAGTACGTACTAGGCAACTAGCGTATATATAGTACGTAACTATTTTCTATCGCGTGATGATGATCTATCCAACGTGCATGCCTCTTGTATTTATACTCATGATATAGTTGTATGTATATCACATGTTGCTTGGGATGTGGAGGTATACAAAGGGTCAAAGTAATAAGGAGCGGTTCGGTAGTCAAGGCGACCCTTCAAACCGACTCCAGTCCCTACATCTCGTGGGAGCTGCTCAATCAATTCAATTGACTCCATCTCTCGAATTCTTAAAAAAATATAAGAAAAATTGATAAGAATAATCTCATCTTTTAGTGGTATTCTCATAATAACCCTACCTTTATGTAATCCCATAATAATCTCATTTTTGCACCTCATCTTCTTTCATTGGACCCTGATCAGATTTTTTACACTTTCTTTGAAAATCATATAAATAATCTACCGTTCGCTTTTTTATTATATCTTTATAAATGTGAGATTATTTTCGTTCCACTGGTATTACCAAAAAAATGTGAGATGATTTATATAATATTTTCAAAGAAAGGTAAAAAACCTGGTTAGGGTCCAATGAAAGAAGATGAGGTGCATATGTGGGATTATTTTAGGATTATGTAAAGGTGAGATTATTATGAGAAAACCAGTGAAATGTGGGATTATTCTTGTCAATTTTTCCAAAAATATAAAGTACAGAGTATTCAGATCTTTTTATGTAGTATAATACTGTACTACTATATCAAAGAGAAATGGTGTCAAATAGGATTAAAATTAACCGTATATACTCAAATAGGACTTAAAGCTTTTTAACTTCTAAATAGTAGTATATTTTCCGTTAAGTCCATATTTACCCTTAATCCCTATTTCCTTTCCCTTCCCAGTGGTCCTCTTTGTTGACAAAGTCACGGAGAATTAATTTCTCTTTCATACGATAGAACCGACACACTAAGAACTAATGAAATGAAGCGAGCAATTGAACGGAAGCGGCGGCGGTGTTTGCCAGACCTGAGCCTAAGACATAAGGGGCAATGGACGGCGCCCGAGGAACTGAAAATGCCTATTGGTTATCAGCCGCCGAAGTTCATCCAGTTTGATGGGAAGGGAAATATGGGACAACATGTAGCCCATTTCACGGAGACTTGCAATAATGCGGGAACAAGCAGAGATCATCTTGTCAAACAGTTCGTGCATTCCCTGAAAGCAAACACATTTGACTGGCATACTGACCTAGAGCCCAGTTCCATTGACAGTTGGAAAGATATGGAATGTGAATTCTTAAATTGTTTCTACAGTACAAGGAGGGTGGTGAGTTGCTTGAGTTGACAACTACTCGCTAGTGGAAAGATGAGCCCGTGATAGCTTACATAGAGCACTAGAGGGATCTTGTCCTCAACTGCAAAGATCGAATCTCTACAAACTCCGCCATTGATATGTGCATTGAAGGCAATCAGGCATCCATTGGGATGTTGTCTTATATTCTCAAAGGAGTGAATCCAACCACCTTTGATGAATTGGCAATCAAGGATCGTAACATGGAGTTGAGTATTGCAAGCAGTTGGGTGATTTTTCTTGGGCAGATCTATTATTGTGATCATGTACAGGGAGTTCTTCTCGGGTTTTGAGGTGGTCTATTAGGGCAAGGTTCTCTTTCATTTGCGCCTCCATTAGCGCTTTCATTCGCTTCCTTGTTTGTTTTAAAAAAAATCTATTAGTTGTTCTTTATTTCTTTAAATTTCTACTTTCATTAGTGATGGAGTATATAGCTCGGGACCCCCCCCGACTCACATACTCCTGCTACTTAAACTAGGCCCAAGAGACACAGGCAGCCCAAACACAGTGGCCTAATTACGAGGCAGCCTACACCCTGCAAGGGACCATCCTCGGCATCAAGGCCGAAGGCGCAAAACTCGGGGAAATCGCCCGTTTGGGTCTAGCAAACAGATTTGGGAAATTCACTTCGTCACACTAGCCTTCGTTCATACAGCTCTCGGCCTCGGTACCGAAGGCACAAGCTCCTCTCTGCCCCGCGCCCAACCACCGTATTTAATGTTACGCCACGTGCCACCACCCACAGCCACCGGGGGGGGGGGGGGGGGGGGCTCTCCGCCATAGACTAGCTTACACATGTATGTGCATGCACCTAATATTTATGACAAGTATAAATAGCTCTCCTTGGGCAGTTGTAACGAACCCTTGGTTATTTAGTGCTACCACACTTTCTCCTTCTTACTTATTGCTCTGACTTCTCTCTAGATACCACTATCGGTATCCTGATATAAACTATCTATCATTTGGTGCTCTCATTGAGAGAACGAACAATCAAGTAAGAACCCTCCCCTTCGGAAAACTACAAACACCTTTCGAAAATGGGAAGAACTAGAGGCCAATCCAAGACTGTCGAGGACACCCAGCAATTCCCCGGAGAGACCAATGGCGCTGATCTGATGAGGTTCTCTCATTGTACTCTGATGACTAGCTCTGACGGCAGCTTTGGCGTCGAACTCTGGTGCTTCTCTGAAGAGTGGTTCTGGTAGCGGTTCTGATGCTCTTCTGAGGAGCAGCTCTGGTAGCAACTCTGATGCTTTCCTGAGGAGCAACTATGGCCAGTCGACTATGTTAATACTTACAAGAAGGAATTCTAATACAAGATTTCTAAAAGGGGTAGTCTAAATTACTAAATAACCTAGCATCATCAAAATCTAAGTACAATTATTCCTTACACACTTTATAGTAATAAAGGTTATGACCCTTTTAGTTGTGAGAGGGATGGTATAAACAAGCTACATACATGTTTGCCAGAATCAGCTGACTCATGGAGCAGGCCACTGAAACCTCAAGGAGTAGAGTGCCAGATTACTGGGAGCTGGCTGCTGAACCCTTTAGGAGCAGGCTATCGAATGGGACTACTGCTTCAATGATTAAGATACAACAAGAAACTGTAATCTAACACATTGATATGCTTTAAGAATGGGCTTAACACATAAGTATGGATGATTTAGACCTATAAGTATAGATCACTTTGATGCACAAAAACAAGGAGTTTGATTTACAGAAAACTGGACAATATTCTGGGCAGTGAAATGAGCAAGCTGTTTTTCTGGGAAGTTGTGAAGGTGAGTGAGAGCCGTAGTGTGTATTGGGAGCTGAATATAAAAGGTGACATAAGATATATCCTGGTGTAGAGGTGGTGTAATCCTCCTACATCCAGTCCCAACTTATTTCAGATGGATTTCCACTAAATGAATATCCCATTACATTTAGTGCCCAATCTATCCTTGGCCCAGGCGTAGATTGTGAGGTTTTTCACAAGAAATTTGAACATCATTCCGAGCTACTCAGTCCTCCAAGGTTTTTCACTAATGTTATTGACTTGCCAAAAGCTATTCATGTCCTTGTCCTTCTCACCTTTTGGATTTGAACACAGTACCCGCCCAGAATGTCTAACACTAGTCTAGTTTACGTGGGTGAAGACTAAACTACCAACTAATCTAAGCTCTATCGATTTGTATGAATTTAAGCTAGCCTAAGAGCTGTAGATGAGGGGTGACCCAAATGGAGAAGGTGAATCAGCACTTGTTTGCTGGATGTGTTTGAGTGATTCTTGACTCCCTTCTTTTCCACATGTCTCACCTCATGTCGTCCTACCTGCACTCCTTCTGCATTTATAGACTTTGTTGTTGAAGCTCGACTGTTGGCTGAGGAGTTCAATCTTGAACGTTGCTTTAATCTAGTTGCCTTGTTCCACTTGACTGAAGGTAGCATGGTTTGTCTTTGTCTTCTTGTGACACGAACTAAAATCTTCACTTCAACTTGTTTCCTCATTTCAATGTAAAGATAAATATAATATCTTTAATCTTTTTGTTCAAAGAATTGAGTATAAAAGCTTAGTGTTGTTCAATGCTTCCTTACAATAAAATTACTTGCTTTCAAAATAAATTTATAAGAAATTTTCATAAGGTGGTAAAAATTTCTTATAAAATTATTTTCTATCTTTTTGTCATTTTGACTGCAAGTTGGTCTTTTGTTTAATTGTTTTTGTGCTAAGAGAAGAGTAGTAGATTTTCGGTGGCCTTGCCTTGGAAACTGGGGTAGGAGCTGGATGAAATGTTTTTAGTAAGCTACTGCCATGGTCGGCCCTGAGGGTGTTCAACCAGAGCGACCGCACAGGGCCCCATGTGATGAAAGGGCCTCCAAATATTACATTGGTTCTTTAGAGAAAAAAAAAATTAATTGATACGCAGTAGTATGTTTGGAGCTGTTTTCAAGAATTGGAAAAAAAATGATAAACTCAAATACTCAGTACGGAGTATGCCCTTTGAATTCTTTATTTTATTCATTTAAACATAAAGTGGTTCTACAAACCTGGATACTTTTTTCAAATAAATGGGAATAAACTATAAATTTAGAAGGATAGTTTTTAAGCAAAATTTAGTTTACATTCAAAATATATTACTGTTACTGAGTATTTGACTTTGATACTTTTGATTATCTTTTTATAATTGTATTTGTATTTTAGTTTTACATGTATTACTTTATATATATATATAATACTCTATAGTTTAAGATTTTAGGGCCTCCTATTTGATTTTGAACAGGGCCTTTGTCTCGTTAGAACCGGGCCTGGCTACTGCTTTGGTTTTTCCAGATGGCTGCCGAATTTACAATGGGTTAATTCCCTTAACAGGAGTAAAACATTAAACAAATGCAACAATAGGAGCTTCTACAGAGTAATTCACTGGTAGGAGTAAAGTGGTTTAACTTGACTAAACTACCCTTACTGAAACATTCCAGGATTATTAATAAAATAATAAAAATTAAAACTAAAACTCCTACAGTGTAATTCACATATCAGGTGCTCGAAGGACAATAGCAATGCACAGCATGCCGTGTACTCTGATTACAATTTTAATATTGTCATCCAGACAAAAAATAATAATCAGTGCCATGATAAAATAACTTTAGTACAAAAAATTATGGCATTTGAGATTAATAATATGACAAGTTGTATTTACAGAACGTGACATTTGCATTTACATTATGGCATCATCA